ACATAGAGATTTCACTTTATAAAACTAAATAAGGCATTTTTGTCTGGATGGGAACAAAGCTATTTGTGCCTGAGAGGCTAGTCAGGTGACACGTGTAGCAAATGAAGCGAGAAGTCACGAGAACTAGGCTGGGTTGTAAACATAAATGCCAAACAGGTGCCGTAACTGAAGAAGCCCAGCCTGGCGGGAACTGGTGGCAGCAACCTGGAGAACGCACCCTGCGCTAAGGCGTCACCACAACTTCAGCCTGAAGACTCCTTCAAACTTCCTTGGCGAACAGGTCTGCAAGTGATGGAGTCACTCAGTTTTGCTTTGTCTAAACAAACATTTTGGGGTCACTGTTCCTTCTGCTCAATTCTGCTGTGAACCTAGAACGTCATTAAACAATAAAATCTACATTTAAAAAAAAAAGTATTTTGCCTTTATTTCTGAAGGATAGTTTTACCGAGTATAGAATTCTGACTTGATGAGGTTTTCTTTTCTTTTAGCACACGAAAAATCGCCATTCCCATGCCTTCTGGTTTGCACTGTTTCAGATAAGAAGGCACTTGTGGTTCTTATTATGCTTTTCTGTGTGCAGTCTCTTTTCTCTAGCTACTATAAAAATATTTTTAATTTCTTATTTTCAACAATTTGATCATCCTGTGCCTTGATGTGGTTTCCTTTGTATTTATCTTTCTTGGAATTCCTTGAGTTTCTAGGCTATATGAGTTTATGTTTTTCATCAAATTAAAAAAACAAACAAACTAGCCATTATTTCTTCAGTGCTTTCTCACCTCTCCTACTGTTGCACCAATTATACATATGTTAGGCTGTTTGGTGTTATCTCACAGGTCACCGAGGTGCTGTTCACCTTTTTCAGTGCCTTGTCCCTCTGTGCTTCAGTGTGAAGACTATATGCTCAACCAGCTTCAAATAAACCAGCCATTTCTTCTACAGTATCTAATTTAAAGCCCACACAGTGAATTTTTCATTTCAGTTATTGTATTTTTCATTCTAGAATTTCCACTTGGTTCGTTTTTGGTTTCCATTTTTCTACTCAGATTTTTTAATTTGCTCTCTCATATTTTTACATTTCTCTTTACATATTTGAACATTTTAATGTAGAGTCTGGGCCTATTTTTATTCATTGATTTTTCTAATTATTGTAGGTCATGCTTTTTCACACACCTAGCAAATTTCGATTTTATGTTGAACATGATGAATGCTATGTCGTGTGTCTGCATTTTGTTGTCTTCATTAGCAAAATGCTAAGTTTTGTTCTGTAAGGCAGTTAATTTACTTGCAGATTAAGTTGATCCTTTTTATTATTTTAAACTTTTGCTAGAATGGGTATAGAGTGCCTTTACTTTAAAACTAGATAAAACCTACTCTTAGGGCATGTAATAGACTGAATGTTTGTGTACCCCTAAATTCATATGTTGAACCCCTGATCCCTGATATGGTGGTGTTTTGAGGCGGGGCCTTTGGGATGTGATTAGGGTTAGATGAAGTCATAAGGATGGGGCCCTCGTGATGGGATTAGAGTCCTTATAAGAGGAGACACCAGAGAATTTGTCCTCTCTCTCTCTCTCTCTCTCTCTCTCTCACTCTCTCTCTCTTTCTCTCTCTTTCTTTCTCTCTCCCTCTTTCCCTCTTTCCCTCCCTGTCTCCCTCCCTTCCTTCATCACTTCTTCCCTCCCCCACCAGGTGATGACATAGTAAGAAGGCAGCCATCTGCAAGCCAGGAGGGGAGCTCTCAATAGGACCTGACCATACCTATGCCCTGATCTTGGATGTCCAGGGTGCAGAACTGTGAGAAATAAATTTCTGTTGTTTAAGCTGACCAGTCCATGGTACTTTGTTACGACAGTCAAGCTGACTAAGACATAACATGGCCTTTCTGTGACCCTACTGAATGCATGAGATGGCCAACACATTTTCTCCCCTGTGGCTGGTCAGGGCTCAAATGATTCCAGCCCTGTGACAGCCCCACTGGCTGTTCCCTTCAGCCCCCTCAGCTGCTCTTCCCCCAGGAGCTGTTTCTGTCTGACCTTGTGTGTGTGGGCAGCTTAGTATTTGACTAAAACCCCCCAGAGATCCTCATTCGTATTTCTGGAGTCCCCTCTTCTTGGGTTCCTACCCTGAGAACCCACCGTCTCAGTGGCCTTCAATCCCGGAATCGTCTCCTCAGCCCGGTGAGCCTGCCGTGACCTGTGTGGCCTCCCCTCACTGTGCTGCCATCCACACAGCACCTCCAGGCGGAAAACAAGGGTGACTGTGGGACTCCCCACACTGCTTCCGCATCAGTCTCACTGTCTGTGGCTCAACACCTGTGAACAGCATTTCACGGAGTTTTGGGGATCCTTTGGGTGAGAGGAGTAGTCTGGTACCAGTTAACTCCAAGACAGAAGCAGACGTCCACATGGGTAACGTCTGAGGACATTCCTATTTGTTTTCTGAGTGGACTGATGGGCGATATCACCCCCGGGGTGAGTGCAGTGGCCTATGGAGAAGGACAGCTACCAAGAGCAGTAGTACTACTGAGGGCTGGCATCGGTCTGACACTGAGCGTTTACAGTGGCAGCAATCGATGGTGTGTCAGCCCAGCACTGCAGGCGGGCTGGGCCTGGAGGCAGCAGACAGGTGAGCACACCTGGTGGACGACGGGATGGTGGGAAACGTGAATGGAGTAAAGACCATGGAAATCGGGCTGGGGAAGGAGAGAAGGAAGAAGAGACAGGCGTGATGGCGCTCAGAGGGATAGCAGAGGGGTTAGGGGATTAAAGGGTTTGAGGATTTACAGAATAGAATAGACATGGCAGGAGTAAGAGAAAATGTTACAATCTTGGGACGCCATGAACTGGAAGGACATTTTGCATGTTGTCTTTCAGAGATGGAGCACAGGCTCTGGGTGTGGTTGTGGGAGGGGGAAGCAGTGGTGGGGTCGGGCCGGAAGTTCCTAGAGACCAGGAGGAAATAAAAACCGGAGTGGCTACGAATTTGCATGAGCTGTCCACCAGGATGTGGAAGCTGTCTGGGATGCGCTAAGGCTTGGTGTGACAAGAAACACAGTGAATGGGCCGGCCGAGTGGTGCGATGGTTAAGAACTGGCTTGGGACGCCAGAGGGCCCCGGTTCGGATCCCACATATGAGGGCCAGTGACACTGCCCTCCACAGCTAAGGTGCTGAACAACAGCTCAACCTGGAACTGGGCTGCCGTGAGTCGCCAGCGATGGCATAGGCTGCAGCCCCTGCTGCAGTGGGTTGCCATAAGCTACTGTGTGTAATCAGCAGCTGCTGTGAGCGGCCAGCAGCCGCAGTGAGCAGCCGTCCAGAAGTTGACGACTGATCTGCCTCGCCCAGGAAGAGCACAATAATGGTGCCAACTTGGGCCAGTGAAGCAACGTCTTCCACAACTAGACTGAAGAACAAAAGGACAGCAACTTGTCTGTTCCCCTTCCCCCAATTCCCCAGCACTGTTCCCATCCCCCCAATTCCCCAATAAAAATCTTAAAAAAAGAAACACAGTGAACTCAGTGCTAAAATCCTTAACTAACGAGATGGGCTGAAAATCACTAGATGACGACAGGGCAGGGCATTGGGAGTATGGTCCACAGCCTTCGTCTCCAAGGAGCATTGTTTTTTGTGTGAGGACAGAGACATCGGGGCTCAAGGTCCGTGTCCAGCTCCCTGCCTGAGCCCATGTGACGGGAGCATGGGCAGCCAATGCGGCCACAGACATGCTGTGTGCACAGCTCCACATTCACGTACGCGGGGTGTCACTCAGACTGGAGACATCACAGCTATTGCAATGAATTCCCTACAGCTGGGAGTTACTTGTCTTGAAGAAAATGTACCTTTTCCCCATTTGCACAAATACACTGTGTGGGTGGTGGGTACTCTGGGCGGGGGCGGGGGCAGTAGGGGGGGCTGAGCACCTGCACCTGAGATGCGTGCAAGGGAGCATCTCAGGGAAAACTCAGGCTCCCGTTCGAGTCGGGGGAGGACGGTGAACCGTAGCTCTGGACCAGGTGATTTCAGTTGGAGCCCTGGAAAGGTCAGGATGGGGGCCGTGGGAAGTCGGGTTGAGGGAGGGGAAGCAGAGAGGACAGACAGGATGGGAATGGATGACTCGGGGCCTTATGTCTCAGTGGTGACTAAAGGTGACAGGGACATGGGGTGGGGAAAGGTGACTTTGCAAGGTTTTCAAAGTTGGAGTCGCACTGGTCACTCTCTTTGGGGCCCTGGCTGCTGAACCCGTGACTTGCAGGTTGGCGACCTTTGAAATCCCTGCGGTGGTGGGAACTTAATGATCTCCCCGTGGCCTCGCACTGTGTCTTTCCGATTTTTCCGTTGGGGTGTCTCCCCTCTGGCTTGTCTCCCTTCTCTTTCGGTCCCATACACAGACTCCCTTCTGTGGAACATCTGACCCCTGGGCACAGCCAGTTTACAGGTGTCACCTTTCAGGAAACGCAGAGAGCTCCCATGGAAGGTACAGTGAGGAACTCCAGGGGTTACTGACATGAAGTTACTTCACACTCCTCTGGGGCTGTTCCTTTCACCTGGTCAGCCCTTCTCCACGGAGCCAAGGAGATGCCGATAAGGCGCCCGGGGAGCCCCGAACTGTGCAGCCCTGCAGGGGGGTCTTCTCTCTGCCGACAACTGGCCTGGTCACTTTCCCCAGTAGCCTTGGGCCTAATTTTTTGTTTTTTAAAGTCCTGTGGTAGCCACCTACTTTATCAGGAGAAATACATGGCTTATCCCTTCCTGGGTGTGACCCTTGAGTGCCCAGCGCCAGATGCGCACGTGGCCAGTTTTCCACGTCAGCATCCTGGCACAACCCGGCTACCTGCCTGGGCAGGGGAGGCCCTGCTTGTGTACAGGCAGCATGACAGGCTGCCCGGAAGCCTGGCCCGCAGGGCCCTCTGTCTCCCAGCCGACGAGCTGTCTCAGCCCCTTTTTCTAACAAAGGATTCAAAGGGTTGGTGCCACGGGGAGAGAGAAAGGTTATCTGCACACACTGAGCAAACAGAGAGAAGGTGATAAAACAGCCCCTGGCGGTGGGAACTTTGCATTCTGCAGGTGGCCTTGGGGTGCAGCTGAGCGTAGACATGGGACCTCAAGGCGCCCGGCTCCTGGCAGTGGTCCTCGTCCTGGGTCTGTGCGCCGTGGCGGGGGCCGAGAAACCTTGTAAGTGAACACCTGTGCGTGACCCTCCACGGCCCAGTGTCCTCCACTGGGCAGTGGAACCCTGGGGCCCGCGAGCCCAGAGAAACTTCAAGCGCCCCAAATGCAGTGAGGGTGCTTATGTCCCTTGCTGTCTGCTGTGCTTCCCGCCCCCCTCGGCGGCTCTCTGTTCTTGTCTGTTTCCAGCAAAAGTGTGATGATGGGTTGATTTGAGAAAGGAGGCAGCCAGGAAGGCGCGCTAAGACTTGTGCTATCAGCCAGCTCCTGTTTAAGCTCACACGTACCTTCCTGCTATTCGGGAGGATGCTGGGGTCTAAGAAAGGCCTCCCTCTGGGGAAAGGCCCGGATGACCACAGGGGCTGGGGGCGGGCTTGAGGAGAGGGCTGCGCGGGGTGTGTGTGGCGGGGGGCGGGCACCAAGGGCTCCTTGTAGTTTGGTCTTGATCACCTTTCACCCTGACCTCTGCCTGGGTCCATCTGTCCACCTCTTTCCAGAAAGTTGTTTTATGTTTTATTTTTTACCAATAAAAGAATTTCAGCAAAGCCCTGTCAAATATGGGTGAGATAAGACTTTGCATTTCCCTCTGTGGCAGCAGGACCAATGGTGTCCTGGTCCTGCCCTGGGGGTTGAGGTGGGGAGCGCTGACCGAGGGTGTCCCCACAGCCCCCTGCCAGTGCTCCAGGATGGACCCCCAGAACAGGAAGAACTGCGGCTTCCCAGGCATCACCAGTGACCAGTGCTTCGCGGCTGGGTGCTGCTTCGACTCCAGGGTCCCCGGGGTCCCCTGGTGCTTCAACCCCCTCCCGCAGCAAGGTAACCTGCCGGAGAGCTGGACCCTCTTCCTGTGCCCATGGCCGGCTGCCCCGGATCGGCCAGCGGTGCCCAGGGCAGTCAAAGGGAAAATGCCCCCCGTCACCCCCTGTCCACACCTGGGGCCCCACGTGCCAGTTATCTGTCCCTTTCAGCAGACATATGTGGGAACCCATATATGTATACTGCTTGTTTTTCTGTATTTGAAAAAAAAACAATTCGCGGGCCTCTCCTGGCTGTGAAAGTGTGACTTCTGCAGCAGCTTCTAGAGGGGAAGGAGGCATTTCATAGGACATGGTTAACACGGCTGCTTATTAATAGACCTCAGTGCTAAGAAATCAAGACGGCTGGGATTCCCTTTGCAGAGTGGGTTTTGCATCAGTGCCTATGAATTCCGAGGCGTGCGCTACAGAAAGTCGTGCGTTCAGAGCACACTCGTGTGTCTGCACCTGGGCACCCACGGCCTCTCGTCCGTCCACACTCCCTGGGGCTCTGAGATGGCTTGTTGGCCAGAACCCTCCCTTGAGGGGAAGTGCTGCTGGGTTTTAGTACTTGGAGCGAGTGCTTTTCATCCTTAAAGGACGCCCTCCAGCCTTTTCTCATTGTGGTATCACCCCAAAATAGGGCCACCCCGTTTTACAGAGAGTCCAGAGAGGAGGGATTGACTTTCCCGAGGCCCCAGTACTCCAGATCTGACTTGTGAAATCTGTGGGGAGGAGGGGTGACTAGCTGCTGGCTCCAACCCCTAAGTCCTTGGTGTCACAGCCCCAGGAGTCCCTTCTGACACACCAAGGCTGTAAATCCAGCACTGGGGGTGGGGGGTGGGAGTGGGGGGACACTGCTGGGCAAACGTTCCCGGGGATGATGGGATTGAAAGGTTCTTGTTAACCAGCGAGCCTAACTGAGTCTCCACGTTGTTCTCTCCCAAACCCGGTGACGGGTGACCAGGGAAAGAGGAGTGTGTCATGGAGGTTTCGGCCCGTAGAAACTGTGGCTACCCGGGCATCAGCCCCGAGCAGTGCGCGGCTCGAAAGTGCTGCTTTTCTAACATCATCCCTGAAGTGCCCTGGTGTTTCTACCCACTCTCCGTGCAAGGTAATGTCGCTGTGGACGAGCCCCCACCTGGCTCCTGGACACGGAGGATTTCTGGAGGGTGGGGGGAGGGTCTTAAGCTGGACTCAGGCCTAAATGCCGTCAGAGGCCAGTGTCCCTGCCCCCGGGGCAGGGGGGGGGGTGACCATTGCAGGAAACAAGTATATTGATGGGTGAGGCTGACTAAACTGTGAACAGCAACCACTGTGTCTTTTGTGATGGTTTAAAAGCATCTCATTCCCAGCCACGCCCCCCGGATCCCAGCACAGCTTGGGGACCTCACTCATTTTACTGCAGTTCAGTCACCATTTTTGGATGCTACTAAATGCCATTGCTGTGCTGGGTCCTGGGGTCAGGGCTCAGAACAAAGTGGACACGGCCCCTTCTCTCGTGGACCTCACTGAATTCTTCTGTGTGACCACGGGTGAGAAGCTCTGCCCACAGCTCACGCCTGCTCAGTCCAGTCCTGGGGGGTCCAGTCCTGCACCCCTGCCTCCCAGTCACACTGTGTCTCCTGACACTGAGTTTGCTGCGATAAAAGAAAGAGCAGGCGTTTTCCAAAAAAAGGAGGAGGGAACGGATCTGTGAAGGGTGCTTTTCTTTCCCTTTTTAGGATATCAGGGTGCTCCTAAGAGCACCGCCTTCACTTTCAGAAATGTCTAACTGTGACCTAAAGGTCTACCTGGAAAATGGCCAGTTATTTGCAGAGAATGTCCTCCGCCTCTCCCCGCCACCCCCCATGGACACCCCAGCCCTGGGCACTGTGTCCCAGGAGGGGGACTCCTTCTTCAGTGGGGACTGCCGGGCAAACGGCCTGATACCACGTGACCCACGGTGCGGTAGCCCAGGCGCCCTGGGCTCCCCAATCTCCCACCAACATCTCCCGTTTTAACTTTCCAGATTGTCATTATTGAGAGGCAGCGGCTTCAGAGAACCCGCCAGCTCCCTGGATGTCCTGAAACAAGAGAAGAGTGCTCACCATCTCCTCGGTCTCGTATTCCATGCTTCCTGAATTCCTGGGTTTTCTTAATCTGTTTTTTATCCTATTCAGTGGTTTAACATTCAGTGTCTTCAAATAAAGACAACCCTTAAAATCTGCCAAATTTTTTTTTTTGGCTTCATTGACACAGAAGTGGAGATGGTTGTGTGTGTGTGTGTGTGTGTGTGTGTGTGTTGTGTGGTTTTAATACTCTTTCATTTACTATAAGAGCAACACTTCATCTGATATATGCAGGCTACTCTTGCAGCAATAAGTATCGCAGGGAAGTGAATTTCAGAGTCCACGTCACTTTATAACTTCCATACTCGAGTTTGAGTTGTAGACAAACTCAAAGGACTTTAGCCCTAAAGCCTCCCGGAATAACATAAAATTTCAGATTGCAATTACAAAATTGTTTCACTTTTACCAAATGCATCGCAGACCACCAGGTCCCGGGGACCTGTTTCTACTGGTGTGGGAGGGGTAGGTCTGGGTCACTGCCACCCCCCAGCAGTTTGCTTCCTTGTTTCCTCTCTCTGCCTTCCTGCGAGCAGCTGCAATTGGAACCTGTTCCAAGGAGGATGCCGTCAGCTCTCGCTGAGGCCATCCCAGCCTGTGGCAAGGTCGTTGCTGACAGGTTTTACGCCTCTAGGTCAAGGGGTCCTGGCGTTCCCTAGGTCAAGGTCAGGGTGCCGTGTGCATGACTCCAGGCCAGCCTTTCTGTGGCTTCTCCCTGCCCCTGCCTCTCCTCCCGCCGGAGCCCACTGGCTTAGCTCATGTGTCACCCAGCGGCCCACCTCAGAAACCCACCGCCTCTCCTTCCTGGGCGAGGGAGGTGCCAGTGGCATTGACTTTGCACTGGGAGGCAGTAATTTTGAAAGGCATTTCAAGAAAGGGACTTGGCCCCCCCCCCATCCTCTCTGGGGACTCCTATTTTGACTCCACATACAGCCTACAGTCACTGCTGTATCTTCATTTGGCTCAAATCACACTCATAAACTTAATATATCAATGGCTGCTGTTTGGACACAGGGTCTCAGAAACACTCAGGACAATGGGCCAGTGGAGACAGGCTCAGGCATCTGTGGATTTACTCATCGCAGGGCTCCGGTCCCTCTCATGTTTGTCTACACTGTGTAGTTCATGTGTTCCTGACCCAGCCAGGCTGGCCACACCTGAGGCCAAGCCACGTCACTCCCCAGGGGCCGCTTGAATTATCCGAACAATGCCCTGGACGAGAGTTTGGTGGTGTGGTGGGAGCTCCTGGTTTTGTGCCATCCTTGGGCATTTTCTGGTGCACTGGCCTCTTGTTCCCAGGCTGAGTGTGTCCACTTGGCTCGACTCTCTGGGTGCAGGAACGACTCCTCTCAGAATTCTCTTCTCAGGCCCCCACCTGCGTCCCACGTCCTCCTTCAGAATTCTCCCTGACGCATTAGCATCCTAATTTCTGAGCTGATTCCCACGTTGTCCCTCTGATAACCTAGGGCAGGATCTTAAGTGATTTCGGTGGCATTCGTGGGCCCGGGGCCCTTAGGCCGTTTTACTCTGTTTCGGATGTCATGACTCCAGCTTGCTCCAAAGCCATCGATGACTGTTAACTGCACGGCACCCCAGTGTGGCTCAGGTCTTGCTGCCCCTCCTCCACCTTCTTTAGGTGGGCCACCCAGGGGTCCTGTCGCCTCAGCAATGGTTGGGGACATGCGTGGAGAAGAACCCCAACCTTTCTTTCTCATCTCCCTGTCCTAAGTTGTCTCTCTTCCGTCTCGTCCTTCCCCTGCCTTTCCTCCTCGGATGAGTTATTTTTGTCCTCTGCTGGTCTCTGCTTCCCGTCCCGCCATGGTCACCGCTGGGCTCCAGCAGGGACCTTGCTGATGGCGGAGGAGGGGGAGGCTCTGCGCAGAGGGTCCAGCAGTGACCACCTCCGTGGGGAGCAGGGGACGGGGAGGCCAGCTGCGGCCCCCACCCACTGCCTTGGTCTCCTGGCCCCTTAGTTTCCTCCAGGGCCTTGCCGGCTGGTCCAGGTAATGAAGGAGCTTTGAGAAGGGACCACAGGAGAGGGTGTTGGCCGGTTCATCGTCTGAGGGAACCGTAGGAGCCCTCGCAGGCCTGCGTGGGTGGATATTCCTCGTGTGTGACCTTGGGGAGCTCCTCGTACCGCTCAGATTTCAGGTGTTCCGTTTGTAAATAGGGGTAATCCATCCCAGCCAGGCTGCGGTGGGAATTACAAATAAGGTTTGTGAGCTGCCTGGTGCCCTCGGGTGCCCACTCACTGCAGCGCCTTCCTGGAGAGTCTGGGCACAGGAGGCTGTCGGCTCCTCGTGTCCTGGCACCGAGCAGGGCCCCTCGGTGGCTGCTGTGTGCAAGCCCCTTCCCCACGCTGTCCAGGGCTGTCCCACGGCAGCCAGGATGTGGGCGGAACCTGAAGACTCTGTGGACTTACTCATCCATTTATATTGAATACATATGGTCGGTTCTCATTATTCCTGGTGTTGGCGCTCATCAACACTGAATTAGCAAATCCGAGACATTGCTAAGGGGGGAAATACAGGGCCAGGCTCCTGAGAACCCCTTTACCAAATCCATCAACCCAGCAATATGTGACTTTGCTTTATGTGTGTTTCTGTTTACCGAAAATGTATTTAATATACTGGGCGTGCCAAAAAAATGTATGCAAGTGGACCTTTTGGTCAGCGTTGCTCAAGCAGCAGTTCGTCGTCATCAGAAGTGTCTGGACGCTGATGGGAACCACTTGAGCACCTCCTATCATTGCAAAAGTCAAATGTGACTTGTATTCATCTTTTGTTTTTGGTATATATTGAGTATTACAATTTTAACACAGTTTTCCTTTCTTAAAATGTGAATGCATTTTTTTTGTCACCCTCTGTATGTTGAGTTGCTAACATCGAACTTGCGGTCAACAGCCCTGCCACTCACCCCTGAAGAAAGCTGGCCTAGGCCTGTGTTTTCTCTGTAAGACACATCAGAGCCTCCTTGCCCTCAGGACTCGAGACAGCCCTTCCCCACTGTGCTTGGGGACCATTTCAGTAGCAAAACCACCAACAAAAAGCACAAATATGTGAAACGCGAGGTACTAAGCAGGCCATGAAAAGATACTTATTTTTAGTCTGAGAGCTGAAACGGAGAAGGCAGAGCGTCACCTCACTGGACCCCAGCTAGGAACAGGCCTGCTGGACCTCAGATTGTCACTGCTCTGACATGCGCATGTCAGCTATCGACCACAGAAGCACAGGGAGTACTGACTTTGGAGTTACAAATACATTGTAGCGAGTAGGTGAATTTGCAAATAGGAAATCCATGAGTGGTGAGGAGCTACTATATACTCATTATAGGTATTATATATTCATTATATGTATTTTGGAGATGTGGTACTTACCACGTAAAGAGCCCTAGCTGTTGCTTTGGGGTTCAGGGGACGAGCACCTCTGATGACACCCCTCCCATGACCTTTGTCTAAAGGAAGAGGAGGATAGGCCACAGCCCAGCACAAGCCTCCAGGGAGCACCATGGAACCAGGGTGCTGCAATAATATCATATGCATCTGATCTCGAAAACAGATACACTGCACTCATGTCCTATAACAATTTCAGTGTCGAGGTCATTTCCTAGCTGTGCAACCTTGGGCAAGCTACTTGGATGTTCTGTGCCTTATTTTACTCATGTGCAAAGTGAGGGTGTTAACAGCACCTTTCCTGGTGGGCTTGTTGGGAGGATTCAATGAGTTAATTCGTGAGCTGGGCTTAGAACAGCGTTGGGCACATAGTGAGTGCTTGATGAGGATGTAAGGGTAGTTATTGTCGTTATTAATACACACATTCCCAATCGTCCAGGCAGCATTAATCAGGGTGACAAATGTGGTCTCATTTGTCTCGGTACTCAGTCATCACCCCTCCAGGGCCTCACCGCTCATGGGGTTCTTCTGTTGCCCTAGCAAATGCGGAGGTCCTGGCGGGCAGCTGCCCCCATCGCAGGCTGGAACGCTGCTGCCGCCACCTCACCAGGAAAGCCCTGGGGGTGTGTCCCGGATGACGCTCCCACGAAATGAGAATTTGTCAGCCCCCTGTGCCCTTCTGTTTTCACAGCCTTTGTCCCTCCCCTCTGTCTGCATTCGTGGGGACTGTGGTGGGAGGTTCCAGCACACCCCTGGGGGCATCCTCAGCCTCCCCGCCACGCTGATGGATTGGGAACAGAGGAGCCGCCTCACTCCATGGCTCCTGAGTGTCTGACCCCAGCTCCAGCCCAGCCAGGCCTCCCGGCAACTCAGACATGGATGTGCCGATGCCAGGGCTCCCAGGCTGGGTGCCAGGTTTCCACAAGGTCCCGTGGGTGGCGGCTTCTGGGTTTATTTCCTGTGATCCAAAGAGAGCTTAGCATTGACTCAGTGTCAACCTTAACTTCGCAGCCAGAAATGCAGCGTCAGGGAAGAAGGGACCCTTCTCTCTGTCCCACTTGGGGCACATGCTAATGAACATAAGCTGTTGCCCACGAAGGACCTTCCAGGGCCAAGGATGCTCACCCGCTTGGGCTGTCTGTCCTCCAGTGCCCTCTGCTGGTCACCCTGGGGACAGACTTCCCCAGCCTCCACCTGCAGCCTATTGGGCACGGCGGTTTTCCCCAGGCAGCCAAGATTTAGTCTCTGATTACTCATGGCTTCTTAACATCAAGAGATTGGCCGAAATAACTACTATAAGTTGCTAAACTTTATACAGTCGGATCAGGCTGACTTTATTGATATGAGCTCACAAAGCAGAGATTCTGCATTTAATGTTGCAGCTCGGGGAGTTAGAAAGGGCTCTCTGCCCGGCTTGAAGATTGCCACCTTCTTGCTGTGTCCTCACATGGAGAGAGAAGGGGTGCCCTTGTCTCTCTTCCTCTTCTTATAAGGACACTAATCCTACCAGGTCAGGGTCCTGCCTTTATGACCTCATTTTAGCCGAAATATGTTCATAAAGACCCCATCTCCAAATTCAGCCACATAGGGGTTAGGGTTTCCATATGTGAATTGGCGGGGGGTGA